GTAGAGATGGGGTCTCGCTCTTGTTCAGCAGGCTGGTTTCCAACTCCTGACCTCCAGCAATCCGCCCACCTTGGCCTCTCATAGTGCTAGGATTACAGGCGTGAGCCACCGCGCCCGGCCTCAGACATGACTTTTCGACCCAGCAATTTCACTTCTAGAAATGTACTTTAAAGAAATGGGTGTGCGCAGAGGTGGGTGTGCGCAGAGGTGGGTGTGCACAGAGGTGGGTTTACGCAGAGGTGGGTGTGCAAAGGTGCCCAGGCAAGCGTGGTGTGTGCAGATGCGGCCTGGGAAACTAACCGTCCAACGATGGGGCTGACTGAATAAATGAAGGGGGTGCCAGGCTGAGGGAGCGCCAGGGCACCGTCCAGTTCAGGTGACCTTCGAGGGCCCTGGGCGGACGTGCAGATGTTGAGTAGAGGAAAGAGCCCAAGCAAGGAGAGCAGAGCAAGTCGGAGGTGTCTCCGTGGTGAGGCTGGGAGTCCCAGCACAGACGTCTCCCGGGTGCCGGGAAACCCTCCTGAGCGTCTCCGTTGTGGAATGAGGACGGCTGCGCCCCTGTCCCCACAGTGTGTGCACACGCACGCGCACACGTTCACCGCACACGTCCGTCCCTGCCCCTGACGGGCCAGGAGCCAGGCACAGCAGGGCGCCACATCAACCCAAATCTCTGTCCCCCTCGCCGCGCGTCCTCGGGGCAAAGCAGGTGACAAGAGAGGGGTTCGGCCCGCCAGGGATCTCGCGTGGCCTTGCCGGCCTCACGAGGACTTGGCCCCCCTCCGAGTGGGACGCAAGCCACGAGGGCTTTGCACACAGAAGTGACGGGAGGCTCCACCCCTGGGTGGGGAGTGACACTGCGGAGGCCAGGGGGCGCAGGGTTCTGCTGGGCAGCTACCGCAGTGACGTGGGCCCTGCAGCCACGTGCATGGGCCGGAGTCCCAGGGCGCCGGAGCAAGGTGGGAGCGCTGGAGCTTTTGCTTTCTTCTGCGAGCCTTTCTGTAGTTTCTAACCCCGGGACATTTACCATCGCTTGTGAGTGCGTATCATTAGCCTTCAGGGTCCGATCCCAACGACCACGCCTCTCCCGGGAAGCCTGCCTGCTCCGCACAGCCCTGGAGGAGAAGCCTCTTCGGTGACGTCCGAGGCCCAGCCCGCCTGGAATTAGAAGGGGTCGGTTCTTCCGTCCTGGCCAGCCCGAGCGCCCCTTCCCGAGGGCAGCAGCCTCCCGGGGACACCCACAGAGGCCTGAGAACCTGCTCCAGGCTGCGGGGAGTGCGCTCTGCCTCCCGGGCCCGGGCCTCTGCCCCGGCTCTGCACACCGGCGTCCAGAACTCTGACATGCAGGCCCCTCTGTCCACTGTCACCGTTGCCCCCAGCTGCTCACACACCAAGGGGGGTCCAGGGGGGCCATCATGGGAGATTGGGGAGCCCTGGTGGGCAGGCACACCAGCTGCCCCTTGTCTTGGGCTACCTCCTAAGAAGGCGTGAGTGTCGGGGTGGGAATGAAGGATTCTGTGACATGAGATCACACTGGCACACTGTGAAAAGAGGCCCTCAGCTTGCAACGCTGCTCCCCGCCCCTTGCGTCTGCGTGAACCCCAGCTCAGCCCTAGCCTCCCCTGCCACTGGGAGCCCGGGAAAAGATGCCCCCAAACCCCAGGCCCCGACCAGGGCGGCACCAACCTCCCGGGCCTGGGCCTCAGCACCATTCACTGCCGCCAGAGGCCAAAATGTCCTCGCTCGCCTCCCCAGGCTGTGGCGCTGGGCCCGGGTTGCAGCTCAGTAGCTCCCACCCCCCAAGACCACAGGCGGCCAAAGCCTGACTGCAGGGTCGGGAGGAGGGGGCAGCTGCTGGGTTGGCCCTCTGGGTGGAGCTGGGAGGAACGTGTGCTGCAGGCTAGGGCCCGTGCCCGAGAAGGCGGTTGCTGCCCCTGGTCGGTTGGCAGGTGCGCTCAGCCGCAAGGCGCCTCCCTGCCTCGCTGGCCTGCGGTGGAGGCCTCTCCCGCCCTTCCCATCCCCGAGGGTTGGGCCCGCCCCAGGGGCGGGAGAGAACAGGCCCCCAGGCCTCCTCCTCTCCCCAGGAAAATTAGCTGGGCTCCTGCCAGCACCCTGGGCACCGCCCCCCTGCCCTGGTCACACCTGCCCCTCTCCCCTGGGTCCTGGGTGAGCAGCCAGGAAGGGCACTGTCCAAGCCACTCGGGGGGCAAGGGCCAGGCCGCAGTCCACTGTGTCCACTGCCAGCTGTCCAGCCCCTCCCGGCTGTCCCCACTGCTGCCTCGGAGGTCCCCTCAGGAAACACAGCCAACCACACCAAGCCCACCCCTGCCTGACCCCCAAACTCCCTGACAAGGACCAAGGCCTCCAACGAGCCCCTCCACACCCACCCCTACACCTCCTCTCTACACCCCCTACACCTCCCCTCACACCCACACCTGCCCTCTCCCCCTCCACACCTCCCCCATACCTCCGTGCCCCACACCCTCCACCCCTCACAACTCCCCCCTCCCCCTCACCCCCACTCCCCCTCTTTCCCTCCGCTTCCAGCCTCCAGACCCCAGGGGTGAGCTCTTCTCATCTTTGCACCTTGATGGTCCCGGCTTGGACATTCCCCCAAAGCCAGTCTGACTTACCCCCATCCCAGGAGAGTTCCCCCTTCCAGGCGGCACCCCCGGCAGGGGTTGGAGGCCCCCCCTTTGCACTCCCACTGCCCCACCTCCCCCATCAGGGCTCTGAGCACCTGGGTTGTCACTGTCCCGGGGCCTCCCACGGGCTGGACTCACGGCAGCGCTGGCGTCACCCAGCGCAGGAGGCCGCTCCTTGGGGACGGGGGCAGGGAGCTCAGCGGGTCTGCGGCTCTGGCTGGGGCGGCCGCCTCCCTCACCCAGGCCCAGGCTCAGGAGGCCGCCTGCACCCCGGCTCGCTGTCCCGCGGTTCCGAGCATGGCTCTTAGCCCACAGAGCCCCTCCTCCTGCAGGAGGGGAAATGTCAAAATGTGCGCCGGGCCCACCCCTGGCTGGTGCCCGCTCTGGGCTTCTCCTCCCTCTCCCTTGCCAAGCCCCAGCTCGGGGTTGCCGGGCAAGTGGCCTGTCCCTCTGCGCTTTACCTTCCTCATCTGAAAAGCTCCAGGGCCTCCCTCCTAGGGTCGTTTTAAAGATTCAGTGGGGGAAAAGTAGGCTCTGCGTACAGCACAATGCTCAGCAAACAGCAGGCGCTCAGCACTCTGCTTCCAGCTGGGCAGCGGCGCCACCTCACCACCAGAGGGCAGTGCTCCCCCCTGCCTGCTCCGAGCTCTGCTTTCTAGGGAGGCCTGGGGTCCCCGAGCCCCCCAGGTCCCTCCCTGAGCCCCCGGGGCCCCCGCACGCAGGTTCCGTTAGTCAGGGGGCACCCGGCCTCAGGTTGCTGGGAGGGGAGCATTTGGGGACAGTGAGGCAGCACGGCACAGTCACAGTGGTTCAGAACAGGGGTCTCTGGGCGCCTGGCCGTCCGGGGCTGGGGAGCCGGCCCTGCCCTGCGAGGTGCGCCTCCTGGCCTCGGTGTCCTCATCTGCAGGCCCGAGCTGGCACCCGTGACTGGGGGTGGGGTGGGGACCTGGCCGGGGCAGCACTCGGGTGTTCCTGGTCCCCTAGCCAAATACCATCCGCTGCCCCGGCGGGGGCAGGAGGCTCCCGCCGGCTGTGTGACGTCACACCCACTCGGGTGCGTCCGTGTGTTTGCCAGAGACCGCGTCCTGCCAGCGTGGCCCCAGACGCACACCAGCAACAACGCCGGCACGCCAAGCGCAGGCCAGCCTGGCAGCCGCGACACCAGGAACGAGCAACCCGAGAGGCCGCATGGGCCGACTGACCAGGCACTTCCATTTAATGACTAAAAATCACATGTGAGTCCAGGAGAGGCCACACACACGCGCGCACACGCGCACGCACACGGATTCCCCATAGGGGCGGACATTTGCAGCTTTCAAACCCCAGAGCTACTGAAGGAGCCAGAAAGTTCCTTTTAGTGATTGGTCATTCAAAGCCACTGTCCTCGACTGACAGCCCTTTGCAGTGCTGCAGCCCTGGAGGAGAAGGCCGGCCCTACTGTGGACCCCTCCCATCTGCCCCTGAGCCAGAGAGAAGGCTCTGGAAAAGGAATCCAGAGCAAAGGGCAGGGGAGGCGTCAAGAGGGAACACGGGGGCACAATCCCGCGCCCAGTTTGCACTCAGTGTCACCGCGGGGAGCCTTTGTCAAATGCAGACGGCTGGGCTGGAACCTCCGGGGTGGGCTGAGTCCACGTTCTTAGCCTGGATTCAGAGAGTCCTTAGGTTTGGGACCCTGAATGGAGACTCCCTCTCTGTCCACTCTTACGGAGGGAAGGGTGATGTTTTCAGTGCTCTGTTATTTGAGTTGAGGGATTGTCGATCTTGACAGCCTGTCTCTGTGTAGGTCCGGTCAACCACTTCATGTAGGAATCCAAAGGGCTAAGAAGGGCGTGTGCACACACACACACACACACACACACACACATACACACACACAAGCGCGCACGTGCACACCCATGCACACACACAGGCCCACTGGGCCCAGTGTCCATGTACTCAGAAGGTTGCCGGGAAACCAGGACCCAGGGCCTATCACAATCTGGAAGGGACACCAAGTCCCCAGAAACAGCCACAGTGGCTCTTGGCCCATGGTCTGGTGGCCAAGGCGGCGTGGCTGCTGGTCACAGGTGGCGGGCTGCCTCCCAGAGGATCTGCAAGGCCATGGAGGCGCAGGGGAGCTGGGCCAGGGTGTAGGTCACGGACCGGATGGGCGCCCGCAGCTTCCCCAGGTAGGCCACCGTGTGCACCACACGGCCCAGGAGGACGATCAGGAAGTGCATCCAGGCGACAAAAGGATCAGGACCCAGGAAGGAGTAGACGAAGCCCAGGAAGAGGAAGGGGTAGATGGTCTCCATGTCATTCCGGTGGGCTCTGGGGAGACAAGGGGCTGTGGTCAGCCAGGTGTTAGCTTGGGGCCCTGGACCCTTCCGAGAGTGCCATGGAAGCAGGCACTCTGCCCTGGAAGGGCCCAGGCCCTCTGGGGATCGTTTCAGGGGTGCCAGACACTCCAGTCCCGTCGTGGCCAGGCAGGAAATGCCCCAGAGTGCAGAGGGACAGCAGCTCCGAGCTGCAGGCAGTCCTGGCAGTGGAGAAGCCCGGCCCCCAGTAATGGGCCAGGGGTCCCAGAGGGCTGTGCGTTTACGGTCTTCTCGCCCTGGCTCTAGGGCTTGCTGGGACTGCCCTGCCCCACTCCCCCCATCTTCCCCCTGGCCCTCGGACACCAGGCAGGAAAACCCGGGCTCGGAGGTGTTGAGCGCTTTGCAGAGCCAGTGAGTAGCAGAGCTGGGACCTGAACCTGGGCAGGGCTTCTCTGAGCCAGGCCTGGGGCTGCCTCCCCTGCGTGCAGCTTCCGGGACCCCTCCCGAGTAGAAGGGGCGGAAGCCTGAGAGTACGCACTTGAGCACTTGAAACCGACGCCTGGCTCCGTCTCATTCTGCCCTAAACACAAGCACCACCCGGCCTTTCAGGGACAATAATAACAAGATCAGCTTCTACCCGCCGGAGCCGAGCGCCAGCCTCTGGGACGCTCCCATTTCATACGTGCTTTCCGGCCTCTTTTTTTGTTTAAAATAATCAAATGTGTGTGTCTGTGTGGCGGGGGTGGGAGGTGTTGTGTACAAGCCTGCCATAAATAAATGGCCAAGAAAGAAGCTCACCCACTTCTGCTGGGAGTCGGTTCACATTTTCCATGACTCCTACTCATGGTCAGCTTGCTTTACAAAGGGAAGACTTTGCAAATTAGAGACCGAGAGAGCGACTAAAGCCATAGATGGCCACGTTGGAAATTCAAATAAACAGGAATCAGTGCCCAGGCCGTGACCTCCCCCAAGGACAGGCCGCATGTGTGAGGCGTGGGGACCGTGCTGGAATAGAAGTCCCTCTCCAGGCCCTCTGGCTAGAAGGCATTTCCCCAGCAACGGTGCGGCAGCGGCCGGCCCCAGCCCAGCCCCCACGTGGTGACCTGCTGCGGAGGCCTCCTTTTCCCACCCACTGGCAAGGTGAGTCTCAGGTGAGGGCCACGGTGTACCAGCCCGACCCAGAGAGAGTGAGCAGGGCGGGGAGTGGCCTGGTGTGCTCAGGAACCCCACACTATAGGGGTCTCTGCCCTGTGACTGCGGTCAGGGAGTTTGGGGTAGGGGGAGACATTTGTACTGAAGCCTGAATGATGAGAAGCCGGCCGTGCAGAGGGAAATCTTTCTGGGGAGCAGGACTGGCATGTGCAAAGGTCCTGAGGTAGGAATAAGCATAGCATGTTCCAGGTGCAGAAAAGTGACCTCTGTGGCTAGAATGTGGTGCACAAGAGAGAGTGAGGCAGAATAAGAGCAGGAGAGGGGACTTAGGAAGCAGGACTAGAATTCAATCTGAGCATACAAAAACTCCCATAAACCCAGCAGGGCCTGGATCTTTCTCAGGCCAAACTCAGGGCACGGCGCCTGGCATCTGTGTCCCGTACCCTGACACCAGCGCGAGCCTTTCTTCTCCTTTTCCCCCAAATCTTGACGTTGCAAACCAGCCACAGGGAAAGCAAGTCGGCAACGGGCCAGGTCTCACCAGCTGTGGGGAAGACCTCGGCCTGCCCATACCCGAGAGAGGCAGGCCCTGGGGGACCCTAGGGTGCTGAGTGCAGGGAAGAATAAGAAGAGGGGAAAACCAAGGATGGGGGCCACTCCAATGCCCCAGTCAAGTAAGTCCCTCATCTCACTTGGGAGTCACGACAGAAAAGGCAACAAGCGTTCCTCCAAAATCCCTCCGTCCAGTGGAAATGGAGCTATGTGCACCAACATTCCCCATGTGCAGATTAGAGGGACATCTAGGGAACCCCGCTTTTTTAAAACAAGATCGCCCAGGCTGGAGTGCCGTGGCATCATCACAGCTCACAGCAACCTCAAACTCCTGGGCTCAAGTGATCCTCCTGCCTCAGCCTCCCGAGTAGCTGGGACTACAGGCACGTGCCACCATGCCTACCTAAGTTTTTACTTTTTTGTAGAGACTGGGTCTCACAATGTTGCTCAGGCTGGTCTCAAAGCCCTGGCCTCAAGCCATCCTCCCACCTCAGCCTCCCAAAGTGCTGGGATTACAGGCACGGGCCACAGCGCCGGCCGGAAAGCCCATTTCAGATTAAGTGGGTGAGTCTCAAGAGGCGTCTGCCTACACAGGTGACGCACGAGACGGTGCCACCTGGATGAGTATTCTGACAAAACGCATTGGAAGTTCCAGGAGAAGCATAACTAGCATGTGAAAGCCATTCGTCCGGACATTTCCCCTTAAAGTGTGTTTACATTTTAAGAGTGAGTCAACTTTTAGAGAGCTGTTAAGAGAATCACAGAACAGGCAGAACACAAACATGGCCAAAGCCCAGAGAGTGGGTGAAGGGTGGGGAGAGGCAGGCCTTGCACAAAACCGTGCGTCGGGGACTGCGCCCCACCTCCTGCTGCACCAACCGGGCAGCCACACAAGGTCACTGGCGTGGGAGGGGAGGTCGCTGGTGGCTAAAAGAGCCCAAAGCTCTGACCCGCAGCCCCTGGGACTGGTCCAGCCCTCCCTCCCCCATCTGGTCTGTCTCAACCACAGTGGGGCCCCCACGAAGCCACAGTGGAGCCAGGGACAGGGAGCAATGGGGAAATCAAGGAATGATGCAAGAAAGCTCGCCTCTCTCCTTCCCACCTCCGGGATCCGAATTGGGAGATGTGGAGGGAGTCACGTACCAGGGAGATGCTTGGGCAAAACATGTCATTCCAGTGATAACCACTTTTTTAAGGTAAAACTCACCCAAAGCAAATTCCTGCTGGCCCGGACTTGCACGGCCTCCTGCAGCATCAGGCCTGCCCGTCACCCTCAACAGACATTACGACACCTTCTGCATTTCACTGCAGCAGGTGACAGGTGGCAAAAGGTGCCCCCCAGCATCCGGGCAGGGCCAGCCGCTGGCCACTCCTCTTCCAGCCCCGCTGACGGGTTCCTTAAATTCGGGATCGATACCAGAAGCAGCGGCTGCTTACTGGTAAAGGAGAGTACACAGCGGAGTAAACCTGCAAAGTCGCCTGGCGCAGAGCAGACCCCTCAGGGACCCCGGATGCCTCCGAGTGCTGAGCGAGTCGGCAGCTGGACGGTGCTTAGGACGCTCCCAACACTGAGCAGGTGCATCTTAAGTTAGCTGTCATCTTCCTCATCTTCGTCACCACCATCATGACCACCACTGTCACCAGCCCTGGCCTGGGCACGCTGTTAAAGCTAATTTCACCTGCGGCTTTACCAGATGCCTGGCCACCCTCAGATGCCCGGGCAGATTAATAAACAGCACTTCACGGTGCAGGGGGAGGGTTTGCTTCCATTCGGCTGTGGTGCCGATTAGTGCCACGGACTCGGGCCAGTCTCTGCCTGGGCCTCTGTTCACTGTCTGCAAAACGAACATGTTGGGTGATGTCTAAGGGACTTCTGGGGCTGACATTTTGGGACCCAATTTCCTGACAAACCAGTTGGCTCAGCGTAAGTCCACACACTCCAAATAGTCGGAAATGCAAACGCTCAGGCAGTGTCTGCCTTCCTTCTTCGGGACACCCGGGGAACCCCTCCCTGCAGGTGCAGGCGCACAGCCTCAGGTTTGGGTCAAAACCCACGTCCTGGGTCCATCCTTCGGACCTGGGCCCCGCTTCCCCCGGGCTGGGCTTAGGTTGTGTGCCTGCACTAACCTGCTAGCCCTCAAGGCAGGTTATACTCCAAGAACCAAGTGCTTTTCCACTTGACAGAGGGCAACTCCTCTGATCGCGCCATAAACCCTGGTCTAATGTTTAACCGGCTTTCGCTGCCAGGGTTTCCCCACTCAGGTTCCAGCCAGTTCTCCGGTAGCGGGCGGCAGGATGTATAATCCCTTCCCTCTGCACCCTCTAGTTTCCATGGTGTCCTGTGAAATCAGGTGGTGCAGGAGGGGCCTCAGGGAGCCAGCCTCCCCTCAGGGCCGGCATGGGCCCGGTATACAATAGGTTCCCCATAAATCCGCCTCGGTGGATGGAAAACATAGTAGGTAAGAGCAGCTCAGCCAGGCCGGGTTGAATTTCAGCCCCTTAAGCACCCGTACTGTGGAGGACGGGTCATCTGCTGAGAAGAAACAACTTGGGCGGGTGGGCGGCAAGGTCTCTCCCTGGCCTGGTCACAGCGAGTAAAGGTAAACCCAGAGTTCGAGAGCCGCGTGGCCACCCTGTGCCTCCGGAAAGCCGCTACATCAAACCCGGCAGCCTGGGAGGAGCCGAAACACGTTCTCCGGCCGGCTGCCGAGAGCTGGCGGTCCCGCGGCCCGGGCAGCTCATCGCGCCCTTCTCTGCTGTCCAGAGGAGCCGAGACCACCAGGGACACGGGGCACGGACGCGGGGCACGAACACGGGGCACGAGTGGGGAAGGCCTTTGTTCAGGAAAGCACAGCCGGTGCTCAGCACAGGGTCCTGCACAGAATAACGCTCATCAAAGGACACGCGGACGGATGGAGGACTCCATAGGAAGGGCGCGAAAGGGCAGGATGGCAGGAAATGTCATTACACACAATTACATTACACATCTCTGTAACTGTTCACAACCACAAGTGTGTATATTATTGTCAATGGCCAAGAAAAACATAAGAAAAAAACCCCACAGGCTTTCTTTCAATAAAAGGATTTCTATTATTTAAATGACAGCGCCCCACCCATTACCGGCTGTGACGCATGGGAGTGTGCTGACGGTTTGTCTCCCGTCTCACCCTGTCTGGCTCCCCTGTCCCCACTTCCCCATCACTGTCCTGGGACGACCCCCACCCCCTGGGTGTCACCTCCTCGCCCCCCCAGCCTGCCGGTGAAAAATGGCAGAGCATAAACCGCCGAAATTCCAACATCGGCACCCGTGATGGGAAATTAACATCTAGTCTCTGATGGAATTTTATGCAGCCGTTTTCAAAGAAGTATTTACCGACATGAAAAGCGCTCATGAAATAATGTTGACAAAAAAATAAAAAAAATCGGAACTCCGAGTTGGGTATACCTAATGCATGCCTTAATTTCATGAAAAAATATTTAGGCATAGAAGAAAAAGAGGAGAGAGGTGAAAATGGGGAGAGTGATGAGAATGCTGAGTGCCTTTCCTTTTCGTCTGTGTGTTTTCAGTATCATCCAAATGGTCTGCAATGAGTAGTTCTGATTCTTATAGTAAGAAAAATTGACTTTAATTGCCCGGGGGATGCTAAGCCTATGAAAAGATGTTTAACTTCACTCGGAAGGAAAGAAGTGCAAAGTAAAACCCAAACGTGGTGTGAATGTTCACGTATCCTGCTGGCAGGGACCCACCCAGAAGGATGACAGTGGGCTGAGCTGTCCGGGGCGGGGAGGAGCAGCCCGCGGGCCAGCTGGGGGCGAAACGTGCACATGTGGCCGGACGTCTTTCCACGTGGCTGCGTCCCGCTCACGCACGCGCACGCGCAAAGGCAAAAACGAGATGTGCCGATGCGCGCTGTTCGTAACAGAGAAAGACCCAGAACAGTCCCCGTGCCCATGGGCGGGGAACCGGTTGCACAAGGTGCGGGCCGTCCACCCAGCGAGGTCGTGGCGTGATAGCATGAGCGCTGCGCACAGACCCGCGAGCAGGGCTCCTCCGTGCTGAGACGGCCTCTGCCGTCACGTGGAAACGGCACAGCGCAGGCCAGCACAGGGTAAAGGGTGACTCCTAAGGGGCCAAAAACGAAAGCATGGCCTGCGCGTTTGCAAGTGCAGAAGATCTCTCTGGAGAGATGCACAGGGCACTGCGCACAGCATCTGCCCCTGGAGAGTGGCCCCAGGTAACACCCGGAGGTCAGAGGTAGGAGGGAGATTGAATTTTTACAGAATGTCCTTTTCTAACTTTGTAATTCTGGCCTTGTATTAATTTTCCAACGTCAATTAGAGATTAAATCAATGAATAAAACAGTCTAAGGGGATGAGGAACGCAGGAAACCTCGGCTCCTGGGAATCCTCCACGCGCTCAGCCAGCAGAAGGTCGGACAGAACGGGCCGCGGCCAGGTGTGTGGCCAGGTGTGCGGCCAGGTGTGTGGCCAGGTGTGCGGCCAGGTGTGTGGCCAGGTGTGCGCCCAGGTGTGCGGCCCGGCGGCCCGGTGGCACCCACCTGAGGCAGCGCTCCACGTCCGGGTCGGTGCGGCAGTACTGCGGGCCCCCGTGTCTCACGGCGTCCTCTGGGTTGGCAAAAGCCTGCAATACATCGGCTGAGAATTACTGCTCAGGAGACGGGTGGCCAGCTGCCTGGGTCTGTGTTTCGCCCACGGACAGAGTTCACAGGGCAGTGGTGCTATCACGGCGGTGGCCATTCCCCTAGCAGCCACCAGCTCCTCCTCTGTGCCATGGGGCCTCACTGCAAGAAAAGCTCCTTGTCCCTGCCCTTGTGAAGCTCACAGTCTGATGAGGGAATCACCTGTGGACCAGGGAAGACCAGGTGGTCTCACCTGGTAAGAAAGAAGACAGGGTTGGCCTTGAGAATGTTCATGGAGACCTGACTGAGTCTGGGGTCACAGGAGGCTTCTCTGAGGCAGTGACATTAAAGCTGAGGTTTGAAGGATGCGTCGACCCTAACCAGAGGAAGGGAGGGCTGGGACATCAACATTCCAGGCAGAGGGAGCACGTGCAAAGGCCCTGGGGCCTGAAGCTGGATATGTTTGAAGAACAGAAAACCAGCATGACTGGAGCATGGAGAGCAAGGGAGGGAGCCCAAGATGAAGTTATGGGGGTCACGGAGGTCCTGGAGGTGCCTTAAGAATTTGAACTGGGCATGGTGGCACACGCCTATAGTCCTAGCTACTTAGGAGGGTGAGGGAGGGGGATCACTTGAGCCCAGGAGTTTGAGACCAGTTTGGGCAACACAGTGAGACCCCATTTCTAAAAAGTATTTTAAACTAAAAATGAACAAAATTTTTAAGTAAAAAAAGAACAAAACATATTATCCAGGAGTGGTGGGGTGCACCTGTGATCCCAGCTACTTGGGGAGGCTGAGGTGGGAGGATCGCTTGAGCCCAGGAGTTTGAGGCTGCAGTGAGCTATGACAGCACCACTGCATTCCAGCCTGGACAACAGAGAGATGCCCTGTCTTTTAAAAAATTTTTTGTGTTAGAAGCAAAGAAAGGCTCTTGAGAGCCCCAGGCTGGAAACCCAGCTCTGCTCTGACTGCAAGTTCCTGGACTTCCTGTGCCTCAACTTCCTCATCTGTAAACTTGGGATAAAACGCAGCTCACGGACCACACAAAGAGCGAGGGAGAGCCCTGGAGGAGCCTCTGACACAACACCCGTGAGGACGGCACTCGGTGAATTGTCACTTTCTCTCGTTGGAAAGCGGAGACGTAAGGTCGCACACCAGTCGCCGAAGGCCCACACCCTCGGCTCCTGCCCCTCCGTCTCCCGCGGGGATCCAGGCAAAGGCAACCAGCCCACGGCGGAATCCGAGGGTCAGCAGCAGGTTTCCAAACGGCCTGTCCAGTGCAAGCCCTGTGCGTCTGACTCACGACTGTCCCCCACGCTGGTTTGTCCTGCCTGGTGGGCCTGCCCTGCCCTGCCCGGCCCTGCCCAGAGGTGAAGGCAGCCTGTGCCTGGCGCCAGTCACCGGTGGGATTGGAATCAGGATTCCTCTCGACTGGCCCTTAAGTCAGCAAATCTCCGACTCTGATGGCCCTGCACCCCGTCCCCGGATCCCTGACACCTTTCAGAGCGCCTCAGCATCCAGCCGGCGCCCGCTTTGAGGTCCACGGTCCACGCATCGCTCACGCCTGCAGACAGAACTCGGAGGCACATGTCAGCTGCAGGAGCCCGCTGCAGCCAAGCCCAGAAGAGCCCCTGGTGGCAGAGGCTGAGGGGCCATCCCCAGCTGGGGTGCGGGGCCAGGCCTAACGCCCTCCCGGGAAGCGAGCTATGGCTGCTGCTGTTCGTGTTCGTTTCAGCTACTGTAAGTCAAGGATCGATGTTGGCAGAGCGTTTGCTGTGTGCCGGGTGTTGGATTCTCCTGGCCCTGCTCTCACCATCCCCCGTGCAGAGAGGACACTGAGCGCCCAGGCCTGCCAGGTCCCAAGGCTGGCGGGTGGAGGAGCCATGGCCTATGCCTGTCACCTCCACGCTGCGTGCTCCCCTAGGTCCTTCCTGGGTGGCACCATGTGCCCAGAACAGAGACGAGAGGGAGCCAGGTGGTCGCAAGGAGCACCTCGGAGCAGCCCGGCCACAGAAGGTCTCCTGCCAATTCCAGGCTGATGGGGCAGATGGCCACTCGGGGAGCCTGCTCCCTTCCCTGGACTCATGTTAAAAGGGAGTCACATTCCCTGCTAAGCACCCCAGGCCCCTAGGCAGCACGTGGGCTCTGGAGCCGGACACCTGAGCTCAAACCGGGCTGGCAACCTGCACAGGTGATGCCGCCTCTCTGATCCCAGGCTGCAAACCTAGAAAACCAGGTGCATGTGGCTCCCCCTCCCGCTCCCCCCGGGGGCTGCGGTGGGGACTGAGTGCTCAGCTCTGGGCCACACAGGGGAAGGAGTCAAGAGTGGATGCAGCTGCCTGGTTAGCCTCGGTTCCCACATCCCAGGGCCGGCTAGGTGGGGAGAAGTCAGAAGCAATCAGTATGCTGTAGCCTCTGGGCACAGTCCTGTCACCTGAGCAGTTGCCCTGCCTTTAATCCTGCCTGTACCTGCACCAGGGCCTGGGCCTCACTCCTGGGCAAGGTCCTCGCTGCCCGGGATCCACCCGCACGCAATGCCAGAGCCAGCCTTGCCGGGCCTTCCAACTGTTCAGATACCTGGGAAGATGATCAGCAGGTGACCCTGGCCCTTTCTGCGCTCTGGCAGGGCGGCTGTGAGCTTGGCCCGCAAGCTTGCGGACTCACAGGGCCGACCGTGCAGCCGAGCCCCCTGGAACGGGTCATCCCGCCCGCTGGCTCGCCCTGGCCCAGATCTCCGTCTCTTTATTGTTGTTTGGTTCAGGGACTTGCGGTGGGGGACATTCCTCCCTGAACTGCCCGCTGGGGCCTGGCTGAGTCCTGGCCTCTGGGGGCTGCAGTGGCTTTGTAGGTGACACTGGCCGGGGAATGGGAATTTCCACTCAAACGTTTCTCGAGCTCCTATTTCACTGGTTCCCACTCCACCCAAGCCTCGGCTCTCCCGTGCCAGGAAGCCACCAGGTCAGACAGTGGCGTTGTGCTGTCACACTCCCATGCTCCACCCTCCAGGACCTGCTTCCCCGGGACACCTGGCGCCAAGAGCCCAGCCTGGTGGCCCAGCGCACGAGTAAATGCTCTTAAACCAGAAGACAAGAAAGTGCGGCCCGAGCCCCGGGCCCAGCGGGGAGCCCCTCGGAAGGGCTGGGGGGGACGCCCGGCTCGGAGCCCTGCACACACCTTGGCCACGCTTTCCGGACTTTCCGGGCAGGGCAGTGAGAAAAGCGAGCACGCCTGGGCTGGGGGACGGGAGGGTGGAGCACGTACCTTCTTCCGCAGCCTCACTTGGCCCGTGATCACGGCCAGCACGTACATCTTGATGACCAGCAGCGTGCTGCAGAGCAGGAAGGCCGGGAGCACCTGGCTGTCCATGGCCAGGCGGTGCGGAGGCATCTCTGGCTCAGCCGGGCGACTGCGGGTGTGATCAGCGGAGCGGGAGGAGGCGGGAGAGCCCGCAGTCAGCGCCCGCCCACTCCCCGCCCCTTCGCCAGGCCGGCCCCTTCTCCTAGGAAGAGGAAGAGGAGCAACTGCTGCCCCGATGCTGTGAGAAACAGACAGCTGGGAGCTGTCCCTGCCCTGGCCCTGGCCCTGGACCAGCCCTCCCTGGCAAATCCTCAGTACTCTCAAATCTGTTTCAGATTTGTTTCCTCCGCTGTGGTGTGAACTGTGCTGTGGGACCCGCCTTCTGGGGGTGTGGCAAGGCTGGGCACCTCTACACGCAATGGATGTCACTGATTTCGTGTCCCTTCCGGGGGGGCTGAGCACAGGAGGGGCTGAGAACCAGGCCATCTGCCCCCCACTCAGCCCGGGCGCCGGAGCCACACCACGCCTGCACCAGCGTGGCTTTGCTGTCCGCGTGGGCTGGACGACGCCCCACCCGCAAGGGCGTCCACGCTCCAATCCCTAGAACCTGCACATACGTGACTTAGAGTGGCAAAAGGGACGTTGCAGAAGGGACCTAGGATGGACCTCAAGATGGGAGAGATTGTCCTGGGTCAGCTGGCCGAGCCCAGGCAGGAGACTGGGGGAAACACATGAAAACAGAGACAGCATAGGGGCGATGCCAGGACTGGGCAGAGGGCAGAGAGGAGAGACATGCGTGGCTGACTTTGAAGATGAGGGAGGTTCACGGGCGAAGGAACGCGGCGAAGGTTCTAGAAGGGGGAGAAAGTGAGGAAACAAGTCTCCCCGAGAGCCCCAGGAGGGCCGCAGCCCTGCCGGCACTCTGACGTTAGCCGGGGAGACCCGCCTCGCCCTCCCAGCCTCCAGAACTGCAAGATAATAAATTGTGTCACTGTAAGCCACTACTTTGCGGTAAATTGCCACCTCAGTGATAGGAAACCAACACGCCGTCTTCCTTAGCACCACTCTGCTTTTCTCAGAGACCTGCCGGGCCGGTGGTTGGATGGCCCCCCGCAAGACCTCCCCGCAAGACCCTTCAACTCTTCGACAGAGAGTGTCTTTGAATCCCGCACCTGAAAGTCCTCCCCTGCCTCGTCCTGCCCCTTCCCGGGATTCCGGGCAGGACTTGGCCAAGGCAGGTTCTGGCTTGTTTCATTTTGCCGGCACTTTGGCTTTTCGGGAGGGGCTCCAGGGCGGTGGGGAAGAGGGAAAACTCAGCCTCCCGTGCCTGCCTGCTCCGCGCTCTCGCTCTGGGCCTGACCCGGTCCTTAGGGACAGCACCTGGCCGGGGGCAGCAGTGTCAGAGATCAAAGGGAGGGCTGGCCCGGGATCCCAAAGCCGGACCTCGGCAGCAGCCGTGTGGCCTTGGGCAAGCAGCTGTCCTCTCTGAACCGCCTCAGCCGCAAAACGCAGCTGTGGGTCACTCCCCGAGGCAGTCGTGGTGACCAAAAGGAGTCTTGGCTACCGGTCGCAATGACCAAGCACCTGGCCTGCAGCAGGTCCCCTGAGCCTCAGCTTCCTCCTCCTCCAAATGGGCGTAATGACCTTGCCTTGTCGGGAGGGACACGCTCAGAAAACCCTGCCCTGCTGCTAGGGGCAGCGGGCGGGTGGCTTCTGGCCCATCTGCCACGTGCCGAGCATTCCTTCGTCCGGACAAAACACTGATAAACTGCCTCCATGTTTCTAGGGCATGGGGCACCGGCAGGCCGAGCCGTCCCAGCCCCACAAGGTGAGTGGCAGGTCACCATACACACCGCCAGGGACGGCACGCGGCAAGTATGAGACGTCGCGAAACATGTTTACCTCTGGCCGTGTGTTGGGGGGCTGTGAGAGCCTGCCCCGGGCAGGGCTTTCTGTCCGAGAACAGGACGCCCCAGCTCAGGGGAACCCCAGGAGGCAGCCCCTTTCCGCCTTCCACGTCGGAAAGCTCGGTTGTGAGGACGGGGTCTGGTGGCCGTACCACGCCCAGAACCGGGGACCACGCACGGCCCGGGAGGGCCCGCTCGTCCTTCTGGGCGAGGGGCGTGCTCTGCCCTGCTTGGTCCCCTGCAGCCGCAGGAGGGAAGCCTGCCCGCGGTGGGGCTGGGCGAGGCGCGTGCTATCGCCTGCTGTTACCCTGAGCTGAAAATGAAAGAGACTTTGTAGGGAAACTCTGATGACTGATGTACGTGACTTCGAGGTAGGAATCTTTTCCTCATCGTCTACAGAAATGAACCAGTTAAGCCAGAGCCTGACAAGCAGGACAAAACCTTCTCTGATCTTCGGCCAGGAATTTCCCCAAAGCTGCCCTCGGTCCACGGGAGCCGCTGCTGCTGCTGCTGCTGCGGTTTGGGGGGTGGTGTTACTTCTCTCTGGGCTTCGGTTTCATTTTTTTATTTTGTTTCATTCATTTTGGTTTTTCCTATGTTTGTCTTTTTTGGTTGTTGAGACACCCTCTGTCACCCAGGCTGGAGTGAAGTGGCCCGATCACAGCTCACTGCAGCCTTGACCTCCCGGGCTGAAGCGATCCTCCCACCTCAGCCTTCCGAGTAGCTGGGACTACAGGAGTTCACTACCATGCCTGGCTAATTTTTGTGGGGTTTTTTTTGTAGAGATGGGGGTCTTGCTATGTTGCCCAGGCTGGTGTCAGACTCCTGGGCTCAAGCAGTCCTCCTGCCTTAGCCTTCCAAAGTGCTGGGACTATAGACAGGAGCCACCTTGCCCAGCCTAGTTCAATTTCTTTGCCTGTGAGATGGGACTGGTGCTCCCTGCTTTTTTTTGGGGGGGGGGACCCTGGGGATGTTGTGTGCACAGCGCTAGGGAGTGGCAGCCCCTGGGGACGACAGCAGTGTGTGCACAAAAATGAGGGCGAGAGAAGCCCCTAGAAATATTTTCTATCTTGACCTGGGGGGTGGGTACATATGTGAAAGGTCACTGAGATGGCTCTTCAAACCTTGTTACTTTTCCATATTTTTTTTAAACCCACGAAAGTCCTCCCCGTCGCAATCCTACAGCCCTGAGCAGAGGCGCTGCCGTGTCCAAAGCTGCCATGGGCTTATTCCAGCCCCTCCGTGGCATTTCCTGACGGCGGGAACCCAGGTCCTCACGCGGCCGATCGTCTGTAACATCAGAGGAGGCTTGGAGAGGAGGAAGCGGCCCCACCTCGGCGGCTGGTTCCTGACCTCTGGGAATGTGCTTTCTGTAGCCAGCGATGGGGAAATCACGTGAAGGGATTTACAAAAATAAAGAAGGACTAGCAAAAGGGACTTTGAAGCCAGACTTGCCCAGCAGTCACCACTGCGGCATCAGCCTCGTTAGGAAGCAACGTTTGCAAAACGTGCTCTGGGGCCGACAAACACGGTGCCGTGCACACAGCTCAGTGGCGCTTTCTGCGGCTCTGCAGCCCCCGGGGACACAGGTGCACCAGGTGGGAGCAGTCCTTTCTGTCTGCCAGCTCACCTCTCCCTCCCAACTTCTGGGAAGCCAGAGCCTTTTCCCAGGACCTTACTCCTAGTGACTGTAATCCCAGTGGGATTGCCCCTAGGAGCACCCCATCCTGTTGGTGGCGGCGGCCATGTGACCCAGGCCAGCCAATCGGCGTCCCTGGCACCTTCCCTGGGAGGGCAGGACACTAACAGAGAGACCCTCTTGGCTCTGGGCTCCAGCCAGAGGACGGTGCTGGCCTGAGGCCGTGTGCAGCCGGCCCTCCCCACGTGAAGGGAGCCTGCAGCCAGGGGCAGAGGAGGAGGCCCCGCCTCTGACTCACCAGGGCCTAGAAATCTAGGAGTTTTCTTTTTTGCTTAAAAAAAAAATCAGTCAAATCACATCCTTCCGGTGGCTCACGCCTGTAATCCTAGCACTCTGGGAGGCCAAGGAGGGAGGATCGATTGAGGTCAGGAACTTGAAACCAGCCTGAGCAAGAGCGAGACCCCGTCTCTACTAAAAATAGAAAGAAATTAATTGGCCAACTAAAAATATATAGAAAAAATGAGCCGGGCATGGTGGCGCATGCCTGTAGTCCCAGCTACTCGGGAGGCTGAGGCAGGAGGATCTCTTGAGCCCAGGAGTTTGAGGTTGCTGTGAGCTAGGCTGACGCCACGACACTGTAGCCCAGGCAACAGAGAGAGACTCTGTCTCAAAAATAAATAAATAAATAAAAATCACATCCTTCCTCTTCTCCAAACGCTGCAGTGGCTCCCATCTCACTCACAGTAAAAGCCAAGGACGATGGCCCATGCCCCATTCCCCAGGTTTCCCCCGGGCTGATGTCTCAGCTCCTTCAAACCTTTGCTCTAATCTCACCTTCTCCGGAGGCTCATGCTCGCCACCTTGTCAGTCCCACCGTCTGCCCCACCTCCGGCACCCGAGGCCACCCCCTGCCTCTGCTTCTCTCCCCTCTCCATGGCACCCGGCACCCAACGCCACGCCAAGTGGCGTCTTACTCTCGCCGCCCCGCACCCAGCCTCCCAGGGCAGGGTCTTCGTTCACGGATGAACCGTGGGCACCAGCACCGTGCCTGACATACAGCGGCAACCACCACCTGTTGAACGGAACCAAGCTCATTTGATCTGGATTTCTGTCCCTTATCATTAAGCGGCTAGACCGAGACAAGTGAAAAACTCCACTTCTGTTCCAGGAGTTTGTTCCGGGTCCTGGCGCCGCCTGCCCACTGCCTGCCCACTGCCTGCCCACTGCCTGCAGTGCCGCGGAGCCCGGCTGCCGGTCCTCTGATGCAGAGAGACCCAGAAAAGAGGCCTGTGTGTCTGGAGAGGGACCGGCCGCCGAGCGCAGGCCCACTGAGGCATTGCCCCAGCGCGACTGCCTTGGGCAGCCATTCAGTTAGTTCTGGAAAAGGCCGTGCATTTTACCTTTAGCTGCACGGAGACGCCACAAACACCCATCCGCCATCTATTGACAAGTCTAAATAAATGGAAGGACTGGAAGCTGCCCGTCAGTGAGCCCAGCTGATTGGGGCTGCGTGCCAGGCTGCTTGTGGGGCGCCCCAGCCCAGCCTGGCCCCTCAGGCCCATTCCTGAGACAGCCAAGATGGCCTGTGAGGATGACGCCACCCCACTTAATGACGGCAGCTAGATTGCGTGATGGCCACAAGGTCACCAGGCATTGTCCTTTCATCTAACACTGGGCTAATCATAGACATTATCAGATTCAAGGGAGGTGTGACTAACAGACCCATTTTAGAGATATGGAGCCTGAGGCCCTGGCCGGTGGTTGTACTTGCCCTGATCCCACAGCTGGCCTTGGTAGAGGTGGACGTTCCTGTCCCAGAGGGAGCCGTGTTCTGGCTGTGGGGCTGCGAGCTTATGCCCAGAGCACCTGGTACGTCGTATGCTCTCAAGAGATGAGCGCCTTGGGTGTGCAGTGTCAGATCCCCTCACTAACTTCACGACGT